AATTTCTTGATGTAAGTAAAGTCCGATTAATTGATTAGAAATGAAATAAAATCTTGAAGTGAAGGTATTTGTCTAAAAGTTAGAATAAAGTTAAGAGGAAAATTGTGTTAGAAAAAGATAAGCAGTATTTTTGTAATGACAATATTTTATTACTTTTAATATATATTTTTCAGAATTAGCAAATATTTTGAGAAATTACTCTTTCGTATTAGTAGAATTCCTTTTTTTCTGTGTACACGACGTACTTTTGTAATGGTCTTCAAACTTGGAAACAGTCTGTCAGTTTATCACGTGATAGAAATTGATCATCTATCATCATCAGTATAGACATTTAATATACTAAGAAAGTATCCTTATTTTCACAAATTATTTATCGGTAGGTGATTGAGCTGGCTCTCCGAAAAGTAAGGCCGCCGCATCGACCAAGATATTGCCCTACAAAAGTTTTACTCCACTTTCTCTAGTAACATCATTAAATTAGAAGGTCACCTTTCCCTGTCTAGTTTAAAAAAAAAAAACTGTAATTAAATTTCCTCCTCGTTCCAATTTTGAACCCAAGGAAAGCAAAGAGAATTCTTCAGCGTTGCGTGTTTGACCGCATAATAACCCCTGTTGATTGATGAATACATCCCTTCGTGTCGGAACAATGAAGTTTCCCACACACTCGCCTGCCGCGGCGGAGCGCTTATTACGCCTTGTTTAACTTCTATCCCAAGTTATATTCGATGGTATATTAATGATGGGAAGAGATAGCGTTGAAGCCAAAATTACGGACGAGTTACGTCAAAACAGGAATAAATTTAATGAGTACGACCCTGTTATCATATAACGTGGCTTATCAGGGCTTAACCTACGTGAAATGGAATAAGGGTCTTAACGTTCCTTTCTGCGTATTACACGCTCAAGGATCATCGCTTAGAAGTTGCTTTCAAATCTCAATTGTGAAATATTAGAAAAGAATAGAATATTTATTTCAGATCATATGATTCATAGTAGTTAGTAATACAGTAATTTTTTCTGAAGTGTCAAGGTTAGTAACACAAGTAAACCTAATAGTAAACAGAGAAAATGCCACGGCTATATAACTACTCTACGTACATGTAATTGCACCCAATTGCTTAGGTAAGGGCAGTCCTGTTCTCAACAATGGCCAGGAACACACACGCAGGCTTGGAAATCATCGTGTGCGTCCCCGCGAATTTGCCGTACAGTATACAGTGTCATGGCTGTCCCATTAGCATCCTGAAAGCGTTGTTGTATTGTATGTTGTGAATGAATAAAGTAACTTCAATAAAAGAATTGATACTTTATTCATTCCTGTAATGTAACGGCTATTACCGTAACATCAAACATCAGAAGATGTTAGTACGGAGTACCCCTTTCCGTTACATGGACCTCAAAAAACGAACTCCGGGCTTTACAGTGCTATTTCCAAGTGTTTTCTTTGTAGTTGCCGCTTACTACTTCTCCATAGAGAAGTATAAAAACGTACTGACAAAATTTCAATGATTTACACGAACACATTTGTTTGTGTTACGTTAAGATAGTACAGTGGACAGCGACGTTATATGTTTTACTAATATTCAATACGATACAACGGCAATCCTATTACTGACATAGCTGTATTTTCTTTTATACAATAATGTTGATGGGATCATGAAGGCGTTAAATTGACTACTTACCATAGAATAAAGCACAGTTTATTTATTTATTTAATGTTCGTCGGTTTCAGATAGGTCCATAGTTCTTATATTTAACGTACAAAATGCCTTGTAATCATTTTGTAAGAATTCACCTCAAAGTGAATTCGAGTAGGGACGAATCATATCTACGAAGGATTTTTGTCCCATCCCTTTCTTTACTTCGATATTGATGAACGGTACAGAAACGCTGACAAACAAAGTTCTTCATACTTTTTAGTGGATTACGTTCCGGGATTAATGGCGGTGTATTAAAATTTCCAAAATAATGAAAATTTATCGAGTTCTTAGGTTTTCGCGATTGTTATACATAGGAATGAAACTATTTTTCCCGGTTGACCGTGACCATGGGACCTGTAAAGGGCCCGAAACGTCGGTTTGTTTGAAAAAACAAATATACGCGATTTAAATCCGGAAAAATAGTTTCATTCCAATGAAAATTTACTTGCTACCCTTTACGCACAAATACAATTTACTAATAATATGCTAACAACAGAGTTAAGGTTTAAGGCTATTAACACAATACTTTCAGTTTTTTTTTACGATGACAGGTAATGGTATGAATAAGTCGTGCGCCTGAGAGTAAGCGACACGCTTTTTCGTAGCAGTTGCACTGGCACTTAGAGCTTTAAATCGCAAAGATCTAAGGGGCATGTAACAGCACCCGTCACCCTGAGACATAAGTTGACAAGTCCTATGTGCCTGTAATTTTACCAGCACCCTTACTCTTCAAAACCGAAGCGCAGTAATGCTCATATTACTGCTTGGCAGCAGAAATAGGTAAGGTGGCAGTACTTCCTTAAACGAACTCTTTCAAAAGGAGCTCACTTCTACTAAAAAGTTCTTCTTTGCTTATACAGGGTGGAAATTTCAATATCAGCCACTACTTGCTCTTTGCGGAAAGGACTATTAAGATATTAGTTTCCTGTTTCCAGTTACATAAATATAATAAATAACGCATACAATCATTGCCCCGCACTAAGGAGACCTTGTATCACGGGTGTTTTGGACGCGGACACACACAACAAGACAACACAGACATATATAGTATATATATATATTATGTCTATGTATATATAAACAAGATGGATGGCATGATTTTTTTAAATTGCCTCATTGCTTGCTAACTATACCTATTTTTGAATCTGTGAATTCCGATCGAAGTACCTTTAAATTTCAATTTTCTAGAACCGTTTTCCTGTAACTGTAATGGTTAAGGTAGCTGGCCTTGCTGACCCATCTCAACTTTCCACCGTGTACAAATAGTGCTAGGTCAACTGCACATGCTACGCAGATTTAATAGAATATGTTTTTTAAATTTAATAAATAAACAAGTAGTGACGTGTTATTGCTTTATTATTATTTTTTTGTTTAAACGATTGTATTCAGGCTCATTAGAAATACTGAAATGGACTATGTATACAAAATTATTTAAAAAAATATACAATTCGCATAATAGTCAGTAGTAGTCAGTCACACTTAAATAATTTGTTGAACACATTTAATAACACAAGAAACACAAACTCCCAAATGTAAATATAAATGCACACGCCCATACAAACACACGCATACATACACCCTCATAGTGTCATAACACATTGACTTTTCTTATACAATTTTTCTTTTTCTTTTGTATTTTTAAAGTAAGGTTTGAAATACAACATTCAACTTGTTACTTTAGGTACATAGTCGTAACGTCTACGGTAGTTATTATCGAAATAATAGTTATTAAATAATTTTTGTATTTGTTCTAAATAGAAACTTTTATTTATTATTAAACTAACCTAGAAAAATAGTCTTTATTTCATAGTAATAGGTTCTTTATTTGGCTCTAAACCCCCGAACACGTTGTAGGCTGTACATAAGTAATGCGAGGGTCGTGTAATAAATTAAGACAATTTAATCCGCCGGAACAAATCTCCTGCCCAATTTATTTTAAGTCGACTTCGGCTCGGATTTGCCAACTTTTCTCGGGGGCAAACACGGATATGATAAAGTTGATAACATTTTTTTCCCTACTTTAAAATGTAAATATTTTTTGCTCAAAGTTTTCTTAAGTATCCAGAAAGTTCTTACACTTGTTTTGATAGACATCTTATTTCAGCAGAATCTTATTTTTTCTTCCTTTTTGTTGTATCACAAACAACTTGACAAATTAGTTTAGGCACCAGATTTATTTATTTCTTAATATGCATCAGGTCCGTCACTGACGTCGACTGTCCTAGCATACAAAGTAGCATATCCATGTTTCGAATTCTTCTCGTGTTCATCACACGAGTGTACGCTGTCATTAATCAGACGTTTTTGCCTTCTCTAACCAATCCTTAGTCGAGGCAGATAAATTCCCGTGAATTACTACACGAATTTCTCCGAGAATTCCCAAAAGACGCCGAAAAACATGTGTATTTACAGTGAAAAATTTGCTCTCGACGATTCGCATCCGTCAACTGTTATTTTTTCCCGTTTCGATTCTGCAAAAAACACCAACTACTCGAGGTGAAGTTGCCAAAGCAGATTCAGATGAAAAATACACAAAAAAACCGTTGGATTGCTTCTTATGATCTCGCGGGGTCTCTACTGGTTTTATCGTTCCAGAAATATATCCCATATCGTGTAATTCCTGAATCCACGTACTCGCCTTATATTATTTACGTCTTTTGAATACAGATAACGTAAGATTGTCTCATGTAAAAGTTTCATCATTATAGGCTAATCTTTTTTTGATCAAATGTTCTGGTAAATCTTTTTTTTATATAATAATATCAGGTGATTCTTAGCGTGGCACGAATTTTCATTCATAAATTTAAAATTTCAGGGTCTGAACTGTAAGCAGATATTTCCGTTCGGACACAAAGTGACAGACAGCTCTTTGTTCATCTAAGCGTCTTTAATTTTGTTTTCAGCGTCCTCATTTTCCTTTTACAGATGGTTCTCAATGTAGAATCACTTTCAAAGTTTTGGTCAAGTTTAGCTATTATATTTGGGCAAAATTTTTGTGTTCAAGTTAAGATTGCTTTGCTTGTTACGATTCTGGTACGTATATATACAGTTATAAAAATAGTTAGCTATGAATTCGGTTTCAATATTTTATTATGGTTTTCCTGGTATTAATATTGGTATTCCTGGGAAATTTTGAACGTGTTAAAAATGTTTGGGTATAATACAATACTGCCAACATGAGTGAGAATATGATGGCGAATAAAATGTTTATATTAGTGGTGACAATTATGTTCCGCAGGCTCACTGAATGAATAACAATGCTAATATAATAAATTTAAATATTAATCTCCATTGTTTCAGGCTACTTCTGGCATATAACAGACTTCCACTACGATCCTCTCTACACGTCACAGGGCGACACTAGAAGACGTAGGTACAAAATGTTAATTTATATTATCAATTTTATTAACAAGTCAAATCCATTTCAAGTAGATACTTGAAAAAAGCAGACGGAATTAGTACAGAGGGTGTTTGTTATTCATAGGAACTTAAAGCGGTTGCCTGGAAGACATTTATATCACGTCAGTGAACTAAATATTTGATACATGCAATCTTTGTGTGTTAAAACAGGTTTAACAAAAAATGGATGTGAAATAGTTTCGAAATTTCAATTTAATCATCTGAAAGGTCAATAATTTTCTATTTTGGAAAGTTTGAACCATGTTGGCCCCGCCTTTCTTCGCCCACTCTGTCTTTCACAGCAAAAGCACTCAGATCTTAGTCAATTAAACCGTAAGCTGCACTAAACCTCAATTTGTCCACAAGCAATTTGGAATTAATAGCTGTGATTAAATTGTTTATGATTAAAACATTATGAGCTACTAAAAATCAAAACTGAAGTAGAAAGCAACAAAGACAAACACTGTTATAGTTCCTCTATTTACTATCTACTTCCGATATTTTTGTTGTAATTTATTAACACATACGATTTCATTCAGCTTTAATAAGCAAACAACTTATTGCAATTAAGTTACAGGTACAATAAATTATGCTAAGGCCAATTAGAGATTTTCCAGACTTATATTTTAGCCGTAATTAATGGAATACATAAATACGTTATGGTATGATAAACAGTAATAGGAATAAGTGGTGCATGTTCATCTGAAACAAGAGCAAGTAGTTTTAAGAGAGGAACACAATTTTCAGTCTGTTATCCTACCTTATCAGCATCATAATATTCAGCCCACATCAACCCATTGTTGGGTGTAGGCACAGAACAATAAATACAGTGAAAGTGGTTACTTAGCGTCTGACGCGTGCCAACTATAGGTATCGAAAGACCCATCTGAGCTCAGTCCGCCATTTTCGCTTTGCATGGTATGGTTGTGACATTCTTTCGTGCAAATCCTAGAAAAATGCCAAAACAGCACATATTTTGAAGTGCAAAAATGATAACCGCACCAAAAATATTACCGGTGGTGGTATTTCATATCATCAGAAAGTCTTATTTTAATAATTTTCAAATTTTCGTTACAAGAAACGAAAGTAATGATGCACGGTTTGCTAGAAGACGTTGGTTCGAATCCGGCTGGATCGAAGGAATTTTTTCTAAGTGTTAGATCTTTGTATTAATAATTAAGATAAAATTATAAACATTTTTGATTAAGATTCTTATTTTTAATTCTAAAAATGTAAACGTTTCCCCACATGTATATTCAACGCGATCAGCGAATGATATCAATATGATCACACTAAGTGAGTATGTCCTCGATTAGGATTGATAAGCGAACCAAACAGCCCGTTGTTCTCTGACAGTACAACCTGCGAACGTACCTATCGCGGGTTGTACTGTCAGAGAACATCGGGCTTGCGTCAGAGCCGTGGCCAGCGGCGCGGGGCCACCGCACCCTCGTCACTCCAACGTGTACGCGCGGGCACCAGAAGATCCACCTTAGATTTTATAATATCATTATCCACCTTATGATGGAACGCGGAAATGAAATGAGCCAGAAGAAGCATCTATTGCCTATGAGATAAAGTAATCTAACTCCACCACTAATCTTGACATGTGTACATTTTTATATACGGAAACTACTCATTGATTGAACGAGTTTGACACGGGCCACATCTCAAGATCTGAAGTGATAAACTAGAAAAATTATGCCCTGAATATTTTGTCTATTGCTAATTACAACACTCAGTGAGGAAACGAGCTATGTAAGTGCTGTTATATTAGAGTGCTTTCGCTAAACGTACGAGTAAAGTCAATGAAGATCTTAAAACGCTCTTTCTGCAATGACAAGATCTTTTAATTCACGTCATTTGTAAAGTACGCTGAGTGGAGCTGGAGCTGAAGTCTTTTCAAATATGATTGGATTGGTGGAAGGAAAATCTTTTTAATCCTGTGAAATACGTTCCGACATCCAATACAAAGCTCGATGAAATTCAACCGGAGAATTTGAACACTTGTCGAAACCTTTGTTAAAGGTACGTTCTCCTTTGAACGGAATGGACAGATGCTATTTATAAATTTTAATTGAAGCTTACTTCACACCGTATCTTCAAAAAAGTTTCTTTCTTTTTGCTTTTCCAAAAAACCAAACCACTTTCGATAAAAAAATTACAATTTTGTACGCATTTTTCTGTTTCGCAACACGCAAGAAACAATTTAAATAATCAATTGTGTATGTGTTTATGTCGATATTTCCGTGAGGTAACAAAAATTGTTCATTGCTTTTAAAGCGGTTGCTTTAGCATTAGTTTTCTCAAGCGCTTCATTTCTTTGACTCTCTGGGTAGCATTGGCTTTCACCCAGATTACTTCACATTATCCACAGACCTTGTGGAGTAACGAAATTGTGACACGTATAACAACGTCGTTGGTAGCCTTGGACGCAATAGATGATTATAATCGATTAGTAAATTAACTGATTATTGTGTAATTACTATATTATTTTTATTTAATACATGTGATAATTGTGGTTATCAATAACTGATAGGAAGAATTAGGTACCTTTAACTTATGTTTAAATTTTAAACAATAAACTTAATTGTCACATACTTCGCGAAACGTTTTTGTTGTGCACTCTATCTTCTACCGCTTATCTTCACGACATTCAATGTGCAAAATTTATTACAATCCGTACAGATAATAATTTTTTAATCCTATCTGTCAATGTTTCAAAACTTTTTTCATCATAACATCGTTTCGGATCGTATATTTTTTGTTAGTAATCAGCAGCAAAGTTGAAAAAAGAAACTATTGATCTAATTAATTCAATTAAGTAATCAAATGGAATCTTGTTCCTCAATTGGCTATCACTAAACCATCTATGGTCGTATAGAGACCGGTTTCTTTACATTTTTTCTTTCTTTTTTGACACTGTCTATATTAATACAAATATTTATACATAATATAGATACGTTTAGTAAATAATATTTTTATAAAAGAATAATTAACATAAATAATAAAAAATTTCAAGGTTGTAGTAAATGGAATAGGGTTACAATTAGTTTAATATTTTTATGTTTTTGTTATTTGCTATGGCTTACAGGGTCCATAGTGATCTAAATTTATGCTGTTACCTTGTATACAACATTAAGGTACCTAATGAGACAGGCGCATTAAGCAGATAAGACATTTTTCATGTTCTAATATTATCTTAGATGATTTTGAAGATTATGTTATGTACTATGAAATGTACTGTGTACTGTTTGTATACGTAATAGAAAGATTTGAAATTATGCTAATATTGTACATCAGAGACATGTTACTTTTAGTCATCGAACTTTCTTCACCTTTTTTACTTTATCTCTTGAATAAAGAATTACAATATCCTTTACGTTAATGGATGCTTAGAAAAGGTTAAGCTTGAATTTTTCTGTTTGTTGGAATTACAGTCTATTAGATGTTACATCTGATTAGGACGCGGGGAACTGATCCTAATAACACAGAACGAACAATTTACTGATTTGGTTTATAAGGTTTCATTTTACATGAAGTTCAACAAAAGTGGTCGCAACTACAGTGGAAAATAAATATTTTTTACTTATAATTACGAAACATAAATTATGTCAGATAAAAATACAAAGACGGGTAATAAGGAAGAAGATTCTGAAATTATAATTATGTATGTATCTTGCTAACATAATTACTTTCACACATAAACTCTGTTAATATAATTTTAGAAAACACACAAAGCTGTAATTTTGATATTTGTCGAAATTGGATTTTCTTTCTTTTTTTTTTTGAGATTTTTTAAGGTTACCCGAACATGTAGCAAGATTGACTAGAGGAGGTTACGTCGCCAAGAGCCTACCTCTTAATAATGTTGATGATGAGTTGCCCTATGTCTTTGCTCGTCACAGTTTTTTAATTTAGTACTTGTAAATTACGGCTTTAACTGTGGTCACTTAATAAATAAATCAAATCAAATATGAAAACAATTTAGGACATGCATCCATCTTACTTTACTTTTATAATGATTATTATTATTGTCAGCTATTATACTTTTTGTGAACTAAATACATAATGTGATTTGTTCGTTAAACGATTTACTCGATGTAATATAGAAATATTATTTTAAATCAATTGTACTCGATTCAACATATCGATTAAAAACTACTGTGGTAGGACTCTTCTTGATTGGAATTTGTACTGATCAGTAAGATTAATACGAAATAAAAAGAGTTAAGACTTGATTAGTGTTTCCTTGATAGGAATAATCTCAGAGGTCCTAGCAGTGATATATTTAGTTAACAGTCAGAATGCCAAGGTAGCCAACGCCAGTTACTGGATATAAGGTCCTACAATTTCAGTTATTTTTGTTGATTTAGATTTTGTGAGATTTCAAAGTGTGACAATAAACGTTATTAACTATTATTTTACAATGATTTATCTTCAGAGTGTTTAGTGATTCATAGTAATTTCGAGTATTAAGTGATTTATTTGACATTTCAATTATAATTTCATAATTAACGTAATTCTTTGCTTATTTTATATTTGAATCAATTTGATACTGTATTTTGTGTGAATATATCGTAGCAACTATTGTATAAATCTTTAGAAATCACATGTAGAAAGGTTAATGTTCGAAATTATATTTATATTTTCGTTTTGCATTTTTAAACGATGTACCCATCGTCATTCGCGCCGTAAACGCCGTAATTGTGGAGGCAGTGATAGGAATGATGACTCAACGTAAACGCAATAAAAAGAAGAACATTAGTATAGTGCATAACGAGATAAGCGAAACTCCTCAGTTTTCGACTTGCGAATGGACAACTGAGATTGTGGAACACACTCTGGTCGCACAATTGCCTTTGGCGAATAATAAGAATTTAAGTCAGTCATCACTATGTAGGAAAGAGGTTCCTCTGTTCGTGGTCGTAGGAAACAGGCCGGAAACTCCGCAAATGAACTCTTGTATCTCCCACAATGAAACTCAATTAGATACAAGTACCTCAAACACAAACGAAACTTTAGTGCCAAGCGCTAACAATCCCCTGATGTCTGCAAATTTTCGGGGACATAATATTTTTCCTGTGCCATTTAGTATTGTACCTGAACTTGATCCAAGTGATAACAAACTATCGAAAACTGAATCAATAAAGTAAACGAATGCGCACAAATATATTCGTGGAACGATCGTCAGATTTGTCATTATTCTTTGCCGAATTTGAGTGGACTAGCAAAGAAATGGTATCAGGGGCTGCCATATGTCCTTTTTACGTGGTCAGAATGGGAACAAAAATTGTAAATGACTTTTCCATCTAATGAAAATTACGGAGATCTTCTCACGTCAATCAAAACAAAAGATTGTGGTCGAAAGTTTAACGTAACTACTCGCGAAGAACAGGTCGGGTCCAACGACAATAGTAATTCGAATACGAAGGCAGTGCTTTATGTCAAAGATCAAAATAATGTAAATTGCAAATATTATTAGCAGATTAAGATTAAAGGCATGGTTAGGGAGGCATATATAGACTTGGGAAGTCGCCGTGCGTTGATGCGTGAAAGTGATGCGAAACAAGTTCTTGGAAATTGGGATGTTTGCGCACTACCCGTCCTTAGGGGGTCTTCTTAATCTTGCACTGGCATATATGGACGACCTTTTAGTCGCTTGGCCTAGAATTGAAGAAGGTCTTCAAAAACTTGAGAAGATACTTCAATTGATACGTTCAGCTAACCTCACATTAAACTTCAAAAAGTGCAGCTTCTTTCAAAAGCACATCAATTATCTTAGATATGAGATCAGCGCCGAAGGAGTTAGACCAGATTTAGGGAAAATCAAGGCAGTAGAAGAGATTCCGTTACCTAAGAACGTACACGAGGTTCATGCAAGAATATGATTTTACGGTGGAACATCGTGATGGTGCAAAAATAGGTCTTGTGGATGCTCTATCTCGTAATCCAGTTCAAACAACTTCTGACGACTTAAGAGATTTAGTAGAAATTTTTAAAGTTGATGATGATGCTTGGTTATAAACGATTCCAGAACAGGGCTCTGAATTGAGAAGAATCGTAGCCATCTTAGATGATCCAGACACAAAAGATATTGTTGAGATCCACGAAAATTATACGGTAAAGAATGGAAGATTGTACAGAAGAATTCACAAGAATGGAATCGTTAATTTGAATTGGGTAGTGCCAAAGTTCGTCAGATGGTTCGCATGAACCATGATGATGCAGGGCACCTAGAATTCGATAAAACTTACGAAAAGATTAGTCAAGTTTACTGGTTCAAGAAAATGCGACGTTTTATTAAAAAAATACTGTCAGTCCTGTTTAAATTACGCTTACGGTACACTGCCTTCCGGGCCCAAGGAAGGTTTTCTCCATCCTATACCGAAGGTTGAAAAACCTTTCGACATTCTTCATGCTGATCAATGTGGGCCGTTTCCGTTGAGCAAGAAGAAGACTTGTCACATACTGTGCATAATAGATGCGTTTACTAAATTTATTTATATCAGACCTGTAAAAAATGTAAAAACCAGTACAACAATTCAAGTTTTTATAGATTATTTTGCAATCTTTGGCGTATCACGACACAGATCGAGGAACTAGTTTTACTAGTAAGAAGTTCTCTAATTTCATAGCTGAAAGAGAAATTAAGCATTGAACGCAGTGGCCACACCAAGGGCCAATGGCCAAGTAGAGCGCTTTAATCGCTCCATTGTGATGCATTGACCACTGCGAATCATAATAAGCCGGAAAATGTATGGGACGTTGCTGTTCCTTAGATTCAGTGGTCGATTAATAATACTATTAATAAAACAACCGGACATACGCCAGCTGAGATGTTGTTTGGCCTCAGGACTATCGGAAGTTCCGATGGAGTCATGAACCCAGTTATTGCTGATTGGCAAGATCTTCAAGACCCTGGTGAAGTACGTTCTCATGTGGGATATAGGATTGCAGAAAGTCAGTTTTAAGAAAAGGAACGTTTTGATAAGAACCGTAAAATCCCAAAGCAATATGATGTCGGAGACTTAGTTCGCGTTGAAAAGGATATTAGAACAGAACAGGGACATAGTAGAAAATTGTTACCAAAGTGCAGTGCACCCTACAGAATTTCTAAAGTTCTTGGCAATGACCGTTACGAAATTGAAGATACCGCTATAACCAAGCAAGATGGTAGTAAGATATATAGAAACGTATACTCTATCGACAAAATTCATCCCTGGTTTAGGCAATGAAAATACTTACATTATATTGTTATGAACTGTAAGTTTACAATTTGTACATTAATACTTACTTACACATAATTTACAACATGAAATGTTAAAACTATTGGATCTACTTACCTACCTAAGGTATTTAATAGTCTCATAATTATTATTACTTCACGATTTCTCGATTGAAGTGTTGTTAATTAATGAGAAAGAAAATAATGTTATCTAGAGAACAGTGATCTAATGAATGAAAAAAAAAGTGACAGAATAACAACATACATGCCTTGAGTAATATACTTACAAGTGTTATTTTATAATAATAACGCAAGATGTAAGATGAGCATGTGAGAAATATAATGATTAAACGAATGAAAAGTTAATATTGTTTATATAAAAGTGAGCCGTCACAAGTAGAGACTCGTGAACGAAGTAGTTTGATGTAAGTAAGTAATTTAGTTATAAGAGTGAGTCGTCACAAGGAGAGACTTGTGAACGGTACAGATGTAATTAATTAATTAATTTAAATATAAAAGTGAGTCGTCACAAGTAAAGAGTTGTGAACGGTGTAGATGTAAGTTAGTGATTTAGTTATACGAGTGAGTCGTCACAAGTAGAGATTTGTGAACGATGTAGATGTGAGAAAATTATTTAGTTATAAGAGTGAGTTATTACAAGTAGATAATTGTGAACGTAAGTAAAGTAGGCGTAAGTGTGATTGTCTCATTTTCATATAATTCAGTAAATATTACATAGGCATTGATTTTTTTTTCTATTTATTCGTTTTGTTTATATACTTATACTCAATTGAATCGCGAGGTCGCGTTCTTAGTCAGGATTAGCCGAGTGTTAGCTATACTTATGGTGAACTAAATACATAATGTAATTTGGTCGTTGAACGATTTGCTCGATGTAATATAGAAATATTATTATAAATCAATTACACTCGATTCAGTACATCGATTAAAAACTACTTCTTTGTATTCTCTGTGGTAGGACACATCTTGATTCGAATTTGTACTGGTCAGTAAGATTAATACGAAATAAAAAGAGTTAAGACTTGATTAGTGTTTCCTTGATAGAAATAATCTCCTAGAGATTCTAGGAGTGATATATGTCGTTAACATTATGTTTTGTATAAATTAATATTCATTCGAGTCTAGTGCTCATGAAAAAGAACTCTGCATGCAATGAGACTCAGGAAGCTGTTGTTATTGCCACAGAATGACATTCTCAAATAGTGAAATAAGTCAGCGGCATAAATACGTTGTGGTGAAATAGGTCCTCTTTAGTCGTAATCTGACACTGACGATGATCGGCATAATTTTTATATTATTCTTATAAAACTCACATTGGTACAAGCCTAGTGGCCGCCATAAAGGAAATAATAAATTTTGTGTAGTATAACCGTAAATATATTACGCATAATTTAACATTATTTATTACGAATAACCGCATAGAAATAAACTTTCACGTGCTGCTGCATTACAGTCACTTGTATTTGGCATCCCATTTAGATAGATATTCTTGGAGTTAGGAGCTCCTCGTATCATTAGTCTACCTGTCTGCCTGTCTGTCTTTTAAACGTCCTCTACCATTAGTTAGACGCTTGAAATATGTTTGTAACACCCTTTCTACTCATAGATATTCGTATTGTGAGTGAAAAAGTACAATATTATAGCCCGAAATGATCATATTTTATTGATTTAACCTTTGACTTCATGGAGATCATGAGAAGCATTTTGTGTTCAAGTCTGTTTTACCCGACTGTGTCAGAAGGAGGGTTATGTTTTTCGAGTGTATGTATGTTATGTCTATTTCTTTTTACGCTGTACAGCCTAAATGGCTGTACAGCCTGGATTGATGGATTTTGACATATGAGGTGTAGTTAGATTCGTCTTGATTGTGGGAATGTCATATTGGCTATAATAAAAAAGTAATGAAAGTAGTGGTTAGGGGTATAATTTATTTGTTATGTTATTATATAAATATATATAGATAAAAAAAGATATATCAAATTAATGTATCACGAAATTGTAGGTCTTAAAAGTTCTACAAAATAGTCCAAGAAGCAACTATCTCTTAAGCAAAACGAAGTTTTTATCGTTCAAAATTTAATATTATAACATTACGTTCCTTAAAAAGATATTTCAAAGTGATTTTCAGTTGTTTTTTATGCAGCCCAGTTTTATATATAACTTTTTTCTGTCCAGCTAAATATTTTTGCAGTCGGGTTTTTGTTTTTTTAATAAATTGCTTGACTTGTTTAATGTTAAAAAGGTTTATAGTGCCACTATTAGTTTGGTAAAAGCTCTCCCGTTTGACGCAGAATGTCGAAAAGCAGACGAACGAGGCAGCTCCGGCCACCACAGAGCTCTGGGGCAGTTCGGGGACTACTCCTGCGACGGGTCATTGGCCCTCATCGAGTCGGCTGCTCGATATATGCGTACGCGGCATCCCGAAAACGTCGAGTTCGTGTTATGGACAGGGTATGTTGGCTTTGTTATTGTCTTATATTTGCTCCTATAAAATATTTAAAAAGTTATTAATGCAGATATATCGACTTCTTAGGTTTTCGCGATTGTTACGCATTGGCAATGATACTACTTATTTCGATCTAAATCACATATATGGAGTACCTACTCATATATGTAGAGTTCGTTCAGGGAAGTACTGTCACCTTACCTATTTCAACCGCTAAGCAGTAATGTGCGCGTTATTGCGTTTCAGTTTTGAACGGTAAGGGTACTGGTGAAATTACTGGCACATAAGGCTTTTCAACTAACGTTTCATGGTAACGGACGCAGTGGCAGTTTTCCATAGATTTTTGCGATTTAAAGCTTTGAGCTGCATTGAAACTGTTACAGGCGTGTCGCTTACCATCAGGCTAAAAACTTGTATATAGTTTTTAAAACAAAACCATGTGTCGGGCACTTTACAAGCCCCACAGTCACGGCTGACTGATGAGACTACGGGATCATGAGAGTTTCATTTCCAATTGAAAGTACACAATGTTCTACAATCTTAAAAAAATCCATACAGAATTGTTTTAGCTATGTCGCCAATTTACACTTTGGGTGGAAAAACGTGTGAATTTTTAAAAGCCATACAAAATATACAACCCTTTCTATATCGAGTTCTTAGGTTTTCGCGATTGTTACACATAGGAAATGAAACTATTTTTCAGTCAATCGTGGCCAAGGAATCTGTAAAAGGCTCGAAACATTGGTTTATTTGACAAAACAAATATATGCTATTTAAATCAGGAAAAATAGTTTCATTTCCTGTAACCCTTTCTATGATTTTGTATTGATTCCGGCGAGTAATTAAAATTCTGTGTTTCTGTAGTGACATCCTGTCATCCCGTTTTCCGGGAAACGAGGATGACAAGTACCAAGCTATAAGCAACATGACGGATCTCCTTCGAGGAACGTTCACGTCACATTTTGTATTCCCGGTGCTGGGACATTCCGACCCGTCGCCGTCGGAACAATTAACAAATTTGTGGATGAAATGGTTGCCGCTAGAGGCACTGCAAACATTTCAAAATGGTAAGATAATTTTTATTAAGTGTACACTCGTCTTTGCTTGGCGAATAAACTATTTCCTTCCACCAGGAAAAAAGTCTATCGTTTTTTACTGCTTACATCATCTGTTCTATGTACAGTCATTGGCCTAAGATACTTAAACACCGAGCCGACCTTTTGGTTCTGAGAGCCTTCTTATGCATTCAACAGAAAAGTGTTAAGAAATGCTTTTTGTTTGAAATGTGTACTTATGTAATGTACGAGTGACTAAAGATCAGATTGGCTTAAAAAGTTTCTTAAAACATCAATGATGCAATAATAAAGTTATATCGAAATAAATTTCACGGCTCACAGGTTAAGAGTTAAGTTTGATTGTCACCTATCTTCACACTGGTTTACACAGAACCAAATAGTCGGTTGGGGGATCAGGTATCTTCGGGCGTTGACTGTACCTTCATTCGCTTACAATATGAAATAGTGGTATTATTATATTTCGTTTTTATTTGTTGTAATTACACCAAAACACATTTCGTCATTGGGACATGCCCATTGTCTATTGTCATTGCGAAAACGTCTTAAAGACAATGATGTAGCCAGAATAATTGTAACTGACTTTTAAATAATATTCGTCTGGTGTAATAAAAATCCAATAAATTTGCTTGACATTGTAAGATTGCTGATATTTCTTCCTTCTTTATTCGTAATTGACACAATGTCTCTAACTGACGACTGAGTAATAAAGATGTCCTATCCTATTACCAACACGGACAAAGTCATCGTTACGATTAAGCTTTAGTAAGTGTAAAGCGCGAATTTCGTGAAAATGTTTTATTTATCTTTCGTTCTGGCACCTTTATTATATAACCATCTTTATTATATCCATAAAAAGAACACTCATCATGTATATAAATTTGTCTCAGCGCAAGTGCGGCTGCTTTCTGAGTCTGTATTTATAATATTTATTTTTTACACTTCTATAGATTCCGAGTAAAGATACCAAACAAACGCGAGAATATTTGTTTTAAAATTACCGTAAAACTCTCTGCGCATCTTAATTAGAAATTACAGTTCTCAATATTGTACACAGGTGGTTACTACACAATAGAACAGACGCAAAGCAAGCTACGGATAGTGGCGCTTAACACCAACCTATTCGGGGCCCGGGAGTCGCAAAACGTAAACACTGACAAGCAGTGGCAGTGGCTGGACGAGGTGCTCCAGAAGGCCACCAGTAACAAGGAGATGGTAAGACGATAAGCTATAGATTTTATAATGCTCCATTTTCCAATTAGGTTACACTAACAATCAGCTCTATATATAATACAAAATTTAATCATTACCATGGAGATTAATACAGTTTAATTTAGACTTGGTAGTTAGTTACTGTTGCTACCTGTCATGGTGGCATTCACAAGGCTGTTTATATTTGCGAATTTGATATATTTGGCAAACAATCAACATGTGTAGATAGCATGTGTGACAAAGTATTCGCCTTGTCTGCCTATTCGACAAATACAGCAAAACCAAACTCGCGTTACCTCGCGCTGGCTGGTTTCTGCACGCATATTAAAGGAGCCAAATAGGCAAATACGCAAGGGAACCATCCACACTATTGTCATATTCATATTTTAACTCCTTGTTTGGCTCCATTTGTAGGTGGTCATATGTATCAGTGTTTACATGTTTGTCTGTACGCCAAATATTTTTCCAAGTACGTATATATATCAAACACTTAATAGCGAATACAAGTACAAGTTGCCATTTGAAGTGCTGCCATTAAGGTGCTTTTAAGGTGAAATTGATCATTAACACATTCTGTTATAGGTATAAACATTACATAATATTTGCTTTTTAAAATTAATGTATAACATTTTGTAACAATATTTCATGCCGAATATCTTGTGTGCACAGAAAAAAATATGATTGAAATAAACAAGATATTCTATATTATTTGATTTTAAAGTCGGGAATTTTTTTTGGAACCTTCGGACGTTTTGCAATGTCGTGGTCTCGAAGAGATCCCATGTCATGGACATTGTAACACGTCCGAAACGTCGAGATAAACAAAATATATTTTATACACGATTAAGGCAATATTATAAAATCAAATAATGTGTGAAAATCGTAAAAGTTATTGTTGACAGCAAATGGGATTTTGTACCTTACGATAATGAACCTATCGTTCACAATGATTGCAGTACGATATTTATTGATTGTTTGATATTTTGTAATTGATTATATCTTGGTAGACTCTCTGGATTAAAGTAAATTTTTTCAGTGTGAATTTCAAAAAAAGGGTTAATGAAATTTAACGGTAAATAAGCTATGTTATAGTGTGGTTTATCCTTTAGTACAGAAATGTCCAATTTACTTAGGTTATCCAAAGACAGTATCTAATACAGGTTCAACTGAATCGTCCTTCGCTGTAATAATTACTACCCATCGCTATCCTTTGAATTACTGCCCGCGAACATTGAATTTCGGCATGAGAAAGGGATCAATTAATTCGCAATGGCTTACAAGGACCTAAATAGCATGTATGCTGCTGTATATAGAATAATGGGCGTCGTCTGGTGACAGCTTAATGCAATGTATTTTCGAGAAAATTGAAATATTGTAAGATTTGATGAATTCTATACATATTTTATACTGTCGCCTGGATGACAGACAGTGCATAGCACATTAACTGACTGTTCTGTGAGCGCACTCTATGTATACGGAGCTTCATCTATCTTAAATATTATCTAATTAAATTCAATGACATACATAGAGAAGGCATGCGATAGAAAGAAATGTAGTAGATAGGTAGAAAGATAAATAGAGTAATACTTTCTGTAAAAGCTAAAGTTCAATATGTGGCTGCTATTGAAAACTATTACAGAACTGAATTTAAAATTAACGTAAGGAACAATACTAGGCGAGCCCGTGAAAATAAATATGTATGTCCAAAAGTAAAGAACTATTAAGGTTAAAGAACAAACAGACATGTTTTGCCAGTTGTATTTAACAAATTAGATTTTTTGACAGGCAAAAAATTGTTTTGCAAATTCACTTCGACGAAAAAATTAAAATTTGATACTTCCTGAAAGCATGTAAATTTAGTTAAAGTCTGCACTGGATTTGATAAATGTACGTGTGCTCCTACTAGGTATACTATAGTTTTGTGATTTTGAGTGCAACCTCGCCAACAAACAGCTTTCACAGCTTGACGAGAAATTGTAATATGTTTTTTGGTATGCCTTTTGTATGAAATAAAATAAATAACATTATATAGATTCCTATATTACTTACGTAACTTTAATGTGTGCAAAATTGCAGCTGGTTTGTTCATCAAGTATGTTGTTTAGATTTACTCAGGTAATCTCAGAACTTGATGTAGAGATGTTAAAATTTATTTTATAAATTTGTTGCCGTCTAGACCTAGACCTGGGTGACCCAACAGTTTACACTATGGTAGCTGGATGAGAATTTATATAGGACCTATTTAGGATATGAAATCCGGTCTGGGTGTTTTAGGTAGTACATCGGAGCGAATTCCGTTGCACTGGTACTTCCTACCACAAGGAATGCCCTAGTCTGGTCTGAGATCAGGTGATTGGAGTGATCGTCTGGCACATTAAAGAAAATAGGTCATATCTTTCGATCTGACAGGTAATTTGCATTCATAAATAAATGTTTCCGTCCTTCACTCGTTACATAGTTGACCACTAAAGCCCGGGCATGACCCCGCATGGCGTTTTCCATTATTTCATAAAGTAAATCTTTTGTATAAGCAGAGTTATTTCACATCACGTGACTGATGCTATCAGCAGTTACATCTGGCAGGATACTTTGCGGGTAATTGTTGAAGTGTGAAATTGAACTAGTCGGTATAATAGAGGTAATTTCTCGTTATATGTTACAAAGGACTAATGCTCGGACAAGCTATATTTGCCGTATTGTTTGTTATTGCTGCTCAAATTTGTCCCGTAAAGTATACAGGTATCATAATAATGGCTTCTGATAAAAAATGTAACCATCAGTGACAAACTTTTCTTTTCCTGTCATTTGGATACTACAAGCGGTAGATAAAATGAAAAAAGGTTCGCAAACTTACACTTACTTTACGGTTCGTACAAACTTAATATCAATATTCCATACATAATTTTCGTAGGCTACGTTTACTCGTGGTACGGCGGAACGTTGCGGGATGTCCGGTGCCGGTGCCGGCTTAATAAATTACAGATTAGAACCTCGTTATTCTAATCGAATACGGAATTCCACTCAAAGTAATATTTAAAGACTCTCCACTAGCCTGAGGTATTGCTTGAATGTTTAATGTGGCTCCTACAAGCCTTTTGTATAAAATGGAAATCAAACCTTTCCATTCCTTTCTATATTTACTTTTTCCAAGTTCATTAAAGATTGATAGAGAATATGTTTTCCATTGTTTTAATGAGTGGGCATCAGTCTATAACAGACTACGTTATAATTTGCAAAGGTAAGGTGGCTTTATTAGTGCCTACTTTGAAAATTGGTCCATGGGCCGTACTAAGTGTCTGTCAGACAGTAAATAAATAAAAAATGTTCACTAGTTTTGGGATCTTCGAATAGAAATATTAGTGTACTATAGCAAAAATGTTAATATGCGTTGTTCAAAACTTGTATAGATCGATTGACTTACTTGCAATGTGGCGATAAAAAGAACTAGCTCTCTCACGTTAAAATACGTCCGAAACCCCACTGAAATACCTGTCGACCTGCCAAGCATTGGCATATGGTAGCGATGGTATAGTCGGCATAAAAATAAGCCAGATTTATTTTCTATCATGTTTTTATTATCACGATATTAATATTTTTTGTTAAAATACCTATTCCACTAGTTAACCACGGTCTGGCAAACAGGTACTCGTTCGAAACCAGCCGTATCGAAGGAACTTTCTTTTGTTTGTTCAACCTATATATGTGTATACAACCTATGTATATCAATAATAATAAGCCAGGTTGTTATTTGAATAGTAAAATTATTTCAGTAACGTGTCGAGTGAGATTTTTATTGTACACATGGGAAATTAAACTGGTTCTATTATGTTATTAAATTAAGGCACTACACTGCAAACATTTCTATCTGTGTGTATCATGATCTGCCTATCGCAGTCCACTGTTGAACATAGGCTTTTCCCGATGAGCGCCTCGCCAATCAAGAATTCGTTTCCCCCAATTGTATGTATGTGTGTATTGCAAAGATTATCTAAGTTTTCAATGTAAAACCACACACCACAACAACACAATGTGTCATATAAAGCATACCTGTATAAGTATTTACGTAGTTCCTTTTAAATAATTTTCACGACACACATGTTCGTTACTCGTACAACTTTAGGGTTTATTGTCAATCAACGTCAACCTAGTCTCGATTGTAGCTTTAGCTGAATAAGATTCTTTTGCGTACGCTATAGGGCACACATGGTATTATTTCAATTTGTATTATTTCCCTTTTGTTTTTGTTTATTCCTTCTTTTTGTGCAGTGGAATTGCAATCAATCGATTCTGTTTTATTATTCTATTGTTAGTTATTATATTGTCAGTGGCAACGATACTTAGTGGGCGAGGGCGGAGTGATGTTAGGCGAAGTTGGGGGTGAGTGCGTGGTTCATATATATTTTAGTTGGGTTGTACAGTCATTATAAGTAGCAGTGTACACACGCGCTGCGACTCGTATTACAAACTTGAAATTGGTCACCTTTAAAGTATAGGCTCATACCAATGAAATCGATATCCCTTATAAAGTCAGTAAAGTACAAATTTAGTAATTCCTGAATCAATCTCTCTCTAATTACAAGTAACAATAATAATTACGTACTACACAATTATTACGTAATACACCACTTGTTAGGTTGAAAAAAGGAAGGTATCAAAGCCACGAAAGTAAAATTTGGGGATACGATTGAGAACACCCACAACAGAATCCCTTATTCGCCTTAGGACAGATTCGCTTTACGACAGATTAGCTTTATGACAGATTCGCTTTATGACAGATTCGCTTTAAGGCAAAAGTACAGACAACTCGACAATAATTAATTAAACCATTCGATTCCCGATCGGGTCAACTGTACATACCGCTACTATTAGCAGTAGAGCTCCTTGTAAAAGAGTTCGTTTCGTCTGCCAAGCGATAATGTGAGCATTGCTGCGTTCCGGTTTTAAAACGGTAAGCGCCCAGTTACACGACGCGAATGTTTTCGCAGTAAAGCTCTGAGTGGCAT